GCCGGGGCAGCGGGCCAGGCAGCCGGGGCGGGCCTCGGCGGTGCAGGCGTACATGCCGGCGGGCACGGCCAGCACCATGGCGCAGACGATGACCACGATGTGGATGAGCTTCTCACGCTGCTCCAGCTGGCTGACGTCACTGCCCGTGACGAAGACGACGCACTGGCCCTTGCGGGGCGCCTGGTTGCGCACGGCCACGCAGACCTCGTACTTGGTGGCGGGCAGCAGGTCGGTCACCGAGTAGGTGTTGACACCGGGACCGATGTAGATCGCGTCCTTCTGGGCGGCATCGTAGCGGCCCACCAGGAGGGTGTACCAGGTCTCCCCCGGGTCCGCCGCCGCCGCCGCCACCGCAAACCACTCCAGGGTGATGCCGTAGACGGTCTGCTTGGCGATGCGCACTTCTACGTGGGCGCCTGGCTCGGCAGGGGCGACGGGGGCCCAGCCCGGGGGCGTGGTGGACGCCCACGGGGACCCCACACGGAGGGTGATGGCCACCGAGGCGTTGCCCAAGAAGTTGGCCGCCGTGCAGGTGTAGTTGCCGGCGTCCGCTGGCCGTGCGGCCGGGATCAGCAGCTCTGAGCGGATGGTCTCCTCGCCGACGGGCTCGGTGGACACTGCGGGGAGAGGGGAGCTGTGTCAGCAGGCGGCGGCCCCCTCCTGCCCGTGCAGGCGGGGAGCCACCATGCCCTTGGGGCAGCCCCGAGACCGCTCTGGTGTGGGATAGAGGCCAGGCAGGACCTGCCCTGCCCAGGGAAAGCAGAAGAGGGACGCAGGAGCGCACCGAACCCCACAGAGCTCGTCAGCAAAGCGTTATCTGGGCCAAAAGGCGATAAACGCACGGGGACACCTGAGCATGGGAGAGAGGGAGTGTGTCCGACCCCCAGCCCAGTGCAAGCGGCTGGGGAGGCTGCTGTGGGCAAAGGCCAAGCTGCCCACGTGCTGTCAGCATGCTCAGGTCAGGGCAAGACAGGGAGAGCCAGCCACTGAGGCGCAGGAGGCACAGCTGCATTTTGGACGCGCGCTCCGTCCTCCATTAAGATTGAGTGCAGAAAAATGTCGGTCTCAAGAGGCTCGGGCCAAAAAGAGGTGTGTAGAGCCAGGAGGTGTTGGGCTGGAAGTGAGATGCAGCTTTAAGAACAGTATGAAACACCCTGTCGTCTATCCAAACAGGGACGCGTGGCTGTGGTCGGGAAAAGCCTGTGTGTAATTAATTCAGTATGTGCTTGTGGAAAGATGCACAAGTGCTGCTACAACACTGCAATTAAAGCAAATATCAGTCCAGGATTAAGGGCTAATGCTATCTTATTTAGCTAGCTGCCTTATTAGGAACACACGTAACCTGTGCGGTACCTGCATGCATTATGAGCTTACCTGATGAAAATAGCAATTTGTGCTATTGAAGGCTCTGAGTAAAAATAAATGTGAGGGAGAGCATGTAAGAGCCAAGCTGGACGGGGAGGGAAAGGCCTCATATTAGAAGGCCCTCAATAAAGAACGTAAATAAGGAAGGCTTATGGAGAATGACAAGCTCTGTTTTGGTTGTAGAACATGAATGGACACAGACAGGCAACAGGGCTACAGGGTTTTCTGGTTTGTGTGGGTATTTCTTGAAAGAACATATGGGAATAGTATAGAAACATACAACTCGGTGTGTGTGTGTGCACACTCCTATAAACACACATGTACGTACAAATATAATTATATAGACTGTGTGTGCATATATGTGTGTATTATATAATATATAGTGTAAATATGCATGCGTGTCTAGATAACTACATATTTATTATATATGTATGACTGATGTATTATTACTAGTTCTTGCACATCATGTGTCATGATGAAAGAGCTAAAAATCCACACATAAAATAATTGTGTAAAAATGGGGCCATCATCTTTGACTGATATCCTGCTTGAAGCAGCTCTTCTCATATGAGTCAGGCATGCTTAGACTCATAGAGTGATTAAGATTATTTGGATTATTGCCACCACAATAACTGTGATGCTCTAAAGGGGCTGAGAGATGGTGTGGTGACTGTGATGGCCTGAAGGCCTATGTAAGTAGAATAGCAGAACATAAATTTTTAATGAAAAAAAAAAAAAGAAAGAAGAAAAAGCTTTTCTTACCATTAAATGCCCTTAAAAGTTTGAGTGCATAGGTCCACCAGACAGCCGGGGAAGGGCTGGCTTGCACAAAGCAGGTCAGAGTGACGTTCAGCCCCACCGGGACTGTCAGGTTGGTGTCAAGGGCTGAGGTCAGGGGCTTCATGCAGCTGTTGAGCTCCACTTCATGAAAAAACTTCCCTGCCCTGAATTTTGGGCTTGAGCAAGTTAAATAGGAATTCATCAGAATAATAGGTGGGCCAACCGACTTGATAAACTGGACAAATCCCCGCAGGCGACAGTCGCAAATCCAGGGGTTGTCATGAAGGGCCAGGACAGCATTGGAAATAGCTTCTATCTGCCCCTCCGCCCTCTGGCTTCTCTGGTAGACGGGCCAGTTGTAGAAGACATCCCTGGATATGACAGTAAGCTGATTTGAGGATAGATCTAAATAGGTCAGATTGGGCAGATAGCGGAGCGCGTGTTCTGGAAGGACATCCAGCCGGTTGTGCTTCACATCCAGGATTTTCAGAGCCGGGGTGTCTTGAAATGCTGTCCATGGCACTGAACTTAATTTGTTCCCTTGCAAGCGCAGCTCCTTCAGAGCTGGCAGATATTCCAGGCTCTTGATGTGCATCACCGTGATGTTGTTAAAATTGAGCCAGAGATACTCCAAGGCACTAACATTCTCAAAAGACCCACGAGGCAATTCTGTTAGGTGAGAATTTTCTATTCTAATTTTCCGGATGTCCTGAGGGATGTTTGCTGGGATCTGTCTCAGCAGTGCAGACATGCAGAGCAAACTCCTAAGGAGGAAACCAGAAAATTCTCCAGGTCGCACACTATGTTCATGGCTAACAAACCAGTTCCCTATATAGATCTACAAGCACTTGAACAATTATAAGGTATTGTACGCAGGGCAACGTAAGCCATACAGCCATCCTTCCCTGGGTTTTACACCCATTTTCCCACAAAGAATACAATTAAGATGTCATAAAAATTGCTACGTATTCAACTACATATCTCAGGGAAATAAGAGAAATGGCATTCTATGCTCAAGCTAGTACTATTCAAGTATTAAAGGAGGCATATCATGCAGCCATCTGCTTGGTTTTGGTGCTCACATCATCAGCAAATATGTACTGGGACTCTGTGAGCTGCTTTGCTTTTGCTACGACTAGGGGAACGAGCATTCTTACCTTCCAAAGCTGTCTTGAGAACAAGAGCATCCTGTGACACAAGATGAAACAGATGGGTTTATCTTGTGGAAGGCCAGAAGAAGAAGAAAAATATGACAAATAGGGTCCATATTCTCCTTTAAGAAAGCACTGTGCAGGGTTTGCACCAAACATGCCAACAGCCTCCAAGAAGCAAATCCTATTAGCTGTAATCTTCCTTGACGCAGAAATAAATCCTGCTGGCGACCCGACCCTAAAGAAGACATGTAGTATGGTTCATAGGCTGTGTCAAAGTGCTAAAAATCACCCCTGGGACCACCCCCGGGCATTTATTCTTTAGCTGTGGGGATTCTGATTGATAGACGTGTTTGTTTGGTTGGTAAGATGGAGCCAAAATCACTTCTGTTCCCAAGCCCTTACAAGTAATTAACCAGGCCTACCTCTGTTGTATAAATATAAAATTTCAGTGCTATTCTCCAGCTTCCCCATAACACATGTGCCAATTGCCTTTTGGTCACCTTGACAAACTCAGTCTAAACAATTCTATGAGATGGGACTTGGAGTAACCAAATTTATTTATCATCTTTTTTTAATCCAAAATAGCAGGGTTTGGTTGCAATTTCCAAGCAGCGCTGTGTTCTCCTGGGGCCATCTAGTGTGTATGGGCTTCATTACAGCCCGCAGAAGGCAGCGTGCCACCGGGAAAGGGCTTAACCTCCTTGCCAGTACGTGTGAAGCTGGGTCACAAATCAAGATTAGCCTGGACCTACTTAACCTCTAACCTACGGGACCAGGATAGAAAAATATTTATGGTGTGACAGCTTAGATCTATACATGGCTGTGGGGGTGTGTGCAACCGTGTAGCCGCTGTGAGCCTACAGAAGACAGGATTGATTCTGCAGCTTTTAAATCGACAGGCGCTTTGATTTCAAGGCAAATCAGCAAAATGCACTGGTGGTAACCCGCTGGGGACTGTTGCAGTGCTTTCTGATTGCGTCCCGCGTACAAGCAGCAGGCTGTGAGTAGTGGACCTGTTGGGCTGCTGTTGCTCACTGTGCTCAGCATCTAACTACAAGCTTATGGGATTTTTTTTATTTTTTTTTTTAAACTAAAATGGTCCTTATTTGTCCATGGTGCGGTACTTGATATTTCAACAGCTGCCCTGCATTTGAACGTGTCAGTAAGCCATGAGTGAAGGAGAAAGAAAGGCTGCTGGTCTGTAGCACAGCAGATGCAGCAGCTATCGATCCCCCACCTGACCGTGGTGGCTGCTGGGGACATGTCTTGGTGAAGCTGTTGCTCTTGCAGTGACAGGGGCGCCAGCACAGCCCCCGTGAGCCGAGGCGAACGCTCCTTATGCGCTTTCAGTGTAGCTGAAGCAGCAAGGGGACACCCATCAGCGGGGCTGGCTGGCTGAACTGGGAGTGCTGCAGGAGTGATGCTGGCAGCTGCGATGGGAGGATGTGTCCTTCCCAGTCATCCATCAGCTGCCGAAGTAGAGGGCCTCAGGGACCCCATGCCCACCCCGCGTGGGCACGGGCCTCTGGGTACACAAGCACCACACTCACCGGTGCCTTTGGTCCTCTTCTGTAGTCTGCCATGGAAATATTCCCTAATAAAACAATGATATTATTATTATTTTATGATAATTTTACACTGGGTTGGACAGTTTGGTTGTCTCCAGCACCAGGCAGGCAGCAGGAGGGATTCACTGCTTTTAAGGCCCAACCTTGCAAAAACCTCCTTTGCTCGCAGGGAAGGCCTCCTTTGCTACCTTCACATCCCTCCTCCATGGCCCGCAGGGAGGGTCTTAAAGTACATGGCAGCTAAGTCACATCTTCAGAAACATCTTTCATGAAAAGTGTTGTTTATTAAAACAGGTTTATATACAGGGTAAAAACTACTGGTGGGTTTCCCCCCCCATGTACATCTTTGGGCACAGTACGGGTGCATAATGCCCAATGTCCTGGGATGCAGCAAGTAAAATTTCATCCAGGCTTCTCTGTTAGAAATACATTAATTTAAATAAATGAGTTGATTAACAGAGAAAAAAAAAAAATTGCAGTTGTTTTCTTTCTCCGACATGAGTTTTCCTCCCATCCCACCTATCATCTTCTACGAGTCTGGAAAATGGCCTTTCCAAGAGTGCTGTCAGTCAGTACCATGGGCCAATGCTCCAGCTGTTTTCAGGCTGATACTTATTTGCTGCTTGAAAGGCCATTTTTCTAAATATTCCCAAACCCCAAGTGTACTCAGAAGGTTCAGTATTAACCTGAGAAACTAGTGTGAATTACTTATCAAAATCAGATGAATTAGTTAGTAGAGAGTCTACCCACTCTCTTGGATAGAGAGAAGGGGGGAAAGAAAGGAAAAAAAAGTAGAGGGAAAAAAAAATCCCCCAGTGTTAGCCGCAGACATTATATTTATGTTTCCTACTGGAGTGGGATTTTGTTGCCTTTTTATTCAGCCCTGCTTATGCCTGCCTGTAAATTTAATGGTCAGTTTTGTGACAGCAGCTGTCCACTCAGTTCAGCTGCTCTTTAATGTCATGTGGCATTCTGGCCAAAGCCAAAATGCAGAACAAGCTGTCTAAAACCCAAGCTGTCAAAATAAATCTCCATAGAGACATTGTCTGCTAATCTGTGGGAAGTGGAGTTTAAGAGACTGCACTGATTGCCAAAGCAAATGCCAAAAGGACACCCATTGCATGCTCCCAGCAATGGCAAGGGAGTCGAACTCCATCTTGAAATGACAGGCACACACAGGGCTGTAAGAAATCAAGTCCATGCTGCTGCTTTAAAATTACAGTACCTCTGCCAGGGCCATCAGCATTAGAAATCCCTGCTGGGAAGGACATAAGAGGTGAAGGCTGCAGTTGGGTATTTCAGATAGGGTGCATGTAACACCAAATGGTACAGGCTTGAAAAAGCAGCTTTGAAAAAGCAGAAGGTGACACGAAAAGAGGTAAATAAGACTTTTCTTTTACAAACCTTCAACAACAACATCAGCTGTACAAGCTTGTCAGTCTTTCCCCAATTTTTTTGAGTAACCCAACACCCCTGGCAGGGTCCCCTGGGGCACCACACCTCCAGCCCCACTGCAGCAAGTCCCTGGCAGCAAGGGACCTGGCAAAGGGGCAAGCAAGACCTGGCAAAGGGGCACAACCTACTCCCTTTCACCCTCTGGAGGAAAGGAAAGCTTTGTCTCTCACTCAGGGCACCTCAGGGCAGGAGCAGAGTCCATCTCCCATGCCGAAACCAGGAGCCAAGGGTCAGCACGCTCTTGTGGGGTATGACTGCGGTCGCAGCAGCCCCACGTCACCACCAGCAGCCCCGGCTCTTGGGAAACATGGGCACTGCTCCAAGGCTTGCTGCCACCTCTGAGAAGCTCCTGGTCCTGCTCTCTGGGGTGTATACACTTATTTCTCATCAACTTGAACCTTTGCTGGCAATTGCTAAATTTTTTCTATTTAATTTTGATTAATAGGAAAGTAAAATGGGGGACAACTCTTTTGCTCTGTTTTGGGCAACAATTTGCATCTTCTGTTCATGGACTTTAAAGCTAGTGAAGCTCCCACTAAGCCACAGTACTGTAGCACTGACTATTGATTAAATACATCCCAAAACTTTTCAGACATTCCCAGAACACTTCTGACATTGAAGGACTTTGATGTCAGCTTCTTCAGGAGCTTTTTAACCTTTAGATTTTATTTTACCATTGGAATACTTTCAAAGTCATTCTTCAATGTCCATGACTTTTTTAAAATATCTTGAAAGATGTTTTACTGTCCTTCTTGACATTTTTGGTTGCTGCTGCTTTTTTTCCATGAATTTATGTATAGGCACATGCATACTTTTGTGTCCTACTTTTTTTTAATCATTTAAACCACTTTTAGTCTATTCTGTCTGGGCACACAGAAATAAATGTGCAAGTGACCCCACAACACAATTATAGCCTTCCAACATGCTTAAAACACATTGTGGAAATACGACATTTGTCAGCCTGAACATTATTTTGCATTTGTGGAATTTTTATACATATATGGCATTTAAAATATTTGCAGAGACTTTATAATTCAGAGACAATATTAGCCTTTGTCTGGATCTACTCACCAGATAATCGGACACTTTTTAAGATGTTTGGAAAAACATATTTCAAAGCCTAAACATGTGGGGTTTTTACATTTCTTCTTGCACTTCAACTACTTGCAGTACTCCTTTTTAATCACTTTGGGCACATTATTTCATTTATATTCTGCTCGATTCCCTCATTTTGATAACTGCTTTTCTCCAGAGCCTTTTAAGAAAAAGAAATAATAACCATTTTTCAGTACAGTTCAGAGCTATTTGGATTAATTTTTAAAACACGATTACCTTCTTTTTTTAAACCCTATCCTTAATTTTACAATTTTACACTACTCTGATTTCCCAAATAAGTATAAAAAGATACTGTGGAAGGAAGAGCTTGTCTTTGTTATCTATCATCACATGATGTACTGCTCTCCAAAGCCCAGGCAGCCAGTGCAAACGTCCTGCCTAATGCAGGTGGACAGTTACTTTATTACTAAGTATTACTGCAGTGGTCCAACACTCATCTGAGAAGAAATTTTAAAATGATTTGATAGTAAAAGTAGGGAACATTGTAGTCCAAGACATTCTGAAATATATTGCTTGACAGTGCCAAAGTATTTGAAATAGACCCAAAAAAGCAACAAATTGGTCAAAACCTGACACAAAGAGATTATTAACAGAGGAAACATTTTCCAAGGAAAAAGAAAACCAAACAGAATAGTGTCAAAAAAAAACTAATTAAAATACTACTAATGCAGTAATTCCAAAAGAGATTCAGGTGTTCATTTCAGTTCTTAAAGCACATGTCTGTCTGAGGATTGACTTTAACTGAGTAAGAAATCGTTTCCAAGGATGAATATTTGCTTGCCTGAACTCTGAGCCAGCTCCATTCACATCTTATGACCAGACAGGGAAGCTTGCCTAAGCTGACCCTGCTGAAACTAGGTGCCTAACACCCCTTCGGTTAAGACAACAAAAAAATAATCCAGTGAGGTATTTATCTTTACATGCCTCTTACCACTGAAAATCTCACCCAGAGCCTTGAAGTCACATTCAGCAGAAAATCAGTTTACTTAATGGTTTGAAATTTCACTTGCAGTTTAGCAAGTATAGGGTTTCTTTTCTGACCAACACCAGATGACACAGAGCTTATACAAGTTTCGATCTATTGCGTCTCTTGTGTGAATCACCAATGC